AAGCTGCCAAGTTCAGTACTCAAACCATGGTTGACCATGTGGGAGTCCAGCACCTTAACTACCATGTCACCTACTGGTCCCTGTGGGGTGACTTTTATATGTTATCTATGGGTTCTGGAGATTTGGGGTTATGGAAGAATATCTACAGATGTGTGAGGCAGGCAGGAGAGAGTTTTTAAAAAGTAACCTGGAGGGGCGGCCGGCAGATGGCCTGGTGGTTAGGAGTGCTGGACTCCCACACGGCCGATAGCAGTTCGAGTCCTAGACCTGGCAGGCCGCTCGCTTTCTCACTTTCCCTCTCTCTCACTCTGTCCCTCTCCAGTCAAATTGAAATAAATAAAGTTAAACAAAATAATTAAAAAGGAAAACAAGTAGCCCAGAGGGGCCAGCAGGTTGCATAGTGGTTATAGCATGTTGAACAAGAATCGAGTCCCAGCAGCTTGAAAATCACATTGAGTGGGTGTGTGTGCATGCCCCAAACCCCAGGATAATGGAGAGGAGGGGACTGTGACATGGCCATCCACCCTGAGTGGTAGTTTCTCACTTTCCCTCTTACTGTCTCTCTGGTGAGTGCATGTGCTCTATGGGGTGGGGAGGCAAAACCTTGAAAAAAAGGTGCTTAGAACTAACCCTGCATGCTCAAGGTAAAGTTACTTTCCTTCCTCTTTCCTCTTACATTATATGTGTTCTTTCTCCCAGAAGCCAGTGTTCAAATTAGTGTTAATTTTGCTGTATTATTTTTAATTAAAAAATAGATTTTGCCAGAAGACTGGGCACTTGCCAGACAAAAATAAAGCATGAGAGAGCATTCTTCATGGGGCGTGGTCATGCGGTAATCCCTTCTCCTCCATTTCTTCCTCTCTGGATTTTGTGCATGCATGTACACATGCCTGGTATGTTTTTCTTTCTTTCTTTTTTTTTTGAAGAGGTTTTTGCTATATAGGGCACGTGCGCTCGCCTTACAGACAGAGACAGAGAGACAGAAAGCGAGAAATCAAGCCCCCAGAGGGGATGGCCACACCACAATCCCTTCTCCTCCATTCTCCTCTCGGGATCCTAGGCACACACGCACATGCACCCAGCATGAGTTTTAAGCCACCGGGTCCAGGATGCGAACCGTGGTCGACTACATGGGAGTCCAGAGACAGGCATTACGCCAACTGCTGTTCCCTTTTTTTCATATCACCTAATCCATGATTCAGACCATGAGATTGGCATTGTGGGAACCAGCTCCCTTAACCACCAGTCCACTGGCTGAACTATATTAGTTTTTAACATTTGAAAAACTTCTTCTATGAAAGGGCTATACCCTTGGCAGGGTCTGTTCATGCTGTGATCCTCCCCACAGCCTCCCAGCCAGCTAGGATCATGGGCATGCCTAGCATTTTTCTTGTTGACACAGAATCTGAATCTGGGCTTCTTACTGTGCAAGCTGTGTGCTGTTGTCTGCACCAGCGTGGCTGGGCCTCAGGCTGTGTTTAAATTATATCATCACTTTTGTGGTTTTAACCTCTAGTAGGCAGAATTCTTTTTTTTTTTAAGAGAGAATTTTTTTTCCCCCCCGTATGGGGCACACACGCTCGCTGGAAAGACAGACAGAAAGCAAGATATCATCCCTTCTAGGGGGGATGACCACACTATGATCCCTTCTCCTCCATTCTTCTCTCAGGATTTTGGGCATGCACACACATGCACTCACCTGTGTTGAGTTTTAAGCCACCAGGTCCAGAACACGAGCATGACTTTGGGAGTCCAGCAACGTAACCATTATGCTATCTGCCGGTCCCAAAAGTCAGAATTCTTTTAAGTGTCAGAAGTGCAAGTTAGATCAGTTTAAACGAAGAAAGGACTTTATTGGCTTATGTAACTAACAAGTTCAGGGATCCAGGTTACTCAGAGAAGTGTTTAAAGACCTGCCTCTTTCTTCTCTTGGCTTTACTTTCCTCTCTTTTGTTTTACTTCTCAAGTAGGCTCTTCTTCCATGGCTCCAGGATTATGTCCTGTAAATTTAATAACTTCAGCAGAAAGAGAATGTCTTCCTAAGAATTATTACAGAAGTTTTAGGATTGACTTTCACTGGCTTGAATTAATGGGCCTGGGCCAAATCAGTACCTCAAAGCAATAAAAAAGTACAAAGAAGAGCTGAGCACATAGCATATGCCTACCGTTTCAGGTATCCAGAGGCTGAGGTAGGAGAATCATGAGTTCAAGGTCAGCCTTGACAACACAGTTAACATTCTATCTTTCTGGCAAGCGCATGCGCCCTATAGCAAAAACATCTAAAAAAAAAAAAAAAAAAGAAGAAGAAAGAAAGAAAGAAAAAGTGTCAAGAAGGGCCACCTTCTTATGCAGTTTTCCCTCCTTTTTATTATAAAAATTACCAATTAAAGAGTTAATTAACAACTATAATCTGTGGGACTTAAACACCTTAAGGTGGGAGAAACAGAATATAGGATATTTCCACTTTTTGTTTTTGGAGAAGTTTTTGCTATAGGGCGCGTGCGCTCGCCAGACAGACAGAGACAGACAGACAGAAAGTGAGAAATCACCCTCTGGGGGGATGGCCACGCCACAATCCCTTCCTCCATTCTCCTCTCGGGATCTTGGGCACTCACACACATGTGCCCAGCGTGAGATTTAAGCCACCGGGTCCAGGACGCGAACTGCAGTTGACTACGTGGGAGTCCAGCGACATAGTCATTACGCTAACTGCTGGTCCCCCACATTTTTAACTTAAATATTTAGATGCTAGATCGATGGTTTTGCCATTAATGTGAGAAAAGAGTAAGATTTGTAGGGGCCAGCAGATGGTATAGCAGTTATATCACTTGACTTCCACATGGCAGTTCAAGCACTGGGCCTAGTGGCTTGAAACTCACAACTGGCGCCTGTTTGTGTGTGCCCAAGATCCCAGGAGGACAAGGGAGGAGAAGGAATTGTGGTGTGGCCATCCATCCTGGGAGGTGATTTCTTACTTTCCCTCTCTCTATCTCTGTCTCTCTCTTTGGCAAGCACATGTGCTCTAAGGAAAAAAAAAAAAAAAAAAACCTCTGTCGGGGAGAAATAAGATTTGTAAAAGATGATAAAATTCTGTTTTAGGTTGAATTTGAGATATCTGTGGCAGATAGACTGCTTGCCTAAAAGCTATTCTTTCTCTAATAATAGCTTTGTTGAGGTATAATTGAAATGCCAAAAAAATCACCCTTAAACGTATACAGTTCATTGGTTTTAGTTTAGTCACAAAGTTGTACATTCATCACCACTATCAAGTATTAGGACATTTTCATCATCCCCAAAAGAAACCTGTACCCATTGGCTCATTTCCTCCTCCCCCACGCATAGGCACCCACTAGTTTATTTTCTGTCTTTGTGGATTTGTCTGTTTTTAATGAACTCATATTCATTGTTTTTCTCATCATCTTTCTTGAGTGTCTTTTAGAAAGAACTGTAGGTTATGCATAATTACTAGTTTGTTAGCCATGACTCACATCTTTCAAGCCCAGTACTTGAAATAATTAAAATATAAAGTAGCTTTGCTGATGTTTGATTGAATTAAAAAATCGATTAGTCTACAATACTGATTTTTGGTAGTATGTCAGTTATCCTTGATTAAGAACGACTGGTTAAGAGTGTTTAAGTTTCTTGATAAGACTTAGAAGGCCTTCTGCTCTGTTCTCTGCCTACCTTTCCAGTCTCACTGTTTGCCATTCTTTGGCTTACATTTGCATTTCTAGCAATATTGAACCCACTTAGAATTCCTTCGGGCTTTCTCCTTGTCCAATTCTTGTTCATCTGTTAAGACTCCCAGAGAATCAGAAATTTCACCTACCCCCACTGAGGGAGCCCCTCTATAGAGCCCTCTATTGTTCTTACCATATAAGCGTTTATATATTTTAAAATTTTTATTTTATTCATAAAAGGGAGTGCATGTGCTTGCATGAGAGGTGGGGGTTGGAGACAGAAAAAGGCAGAGATAAGCAGGCACCTTTGACAGACTTTTGGCACCTAAGACAGACTTTGATCACACTGTGATTCCCTTCCTATGGATCCTCAGCTCATCAGGATTTTGGGTGTATGCACACTGGTGTGTTTTCAGGTTAACCAGGGATCTGAGCCCATAGTTGGCCATGTGGCTTCTAGCATTACAGTTCAGTATGCTGCCCTGTGCCACTGAGGCTGGGCCATTGTTTTTATCCAGCTATCTTATATAAAAGTGTCTATATATTTGGGTTTTCTAGACCAGAAATCTCTGAACTTTTTATTGATCACTGGTAAAAAAATGTTTGAGCATGTACCTGTACAGTTACTTATAAATTACATGTTATACTAGTGCAGCAATGCTTTAAATATTAATAAAGCTTTTGTTAAAATATATTAATATAAGGCTTAATACTCTTAGCTTCTATAGTTAGCTTGTTGGTAGATAGGTAACAAAGAGTCTGTGTACCTTTCCTGGTTTATGTACCATACTTTTTTTTTTGTAAAGAATCATTTTATTTATTATTTATTCATTTGTTTATTTCGATTTGACCAGAGAGGGACAGACAGAGAGAGAGAGAGCGAGAGCGAGCAAGCCACCAGGTCCAGGACTCGAACCACAGTCAGCCATGTGGGAACCCAGTGCCTCCAACCACCATGCCACCTGCTGGCCCCATGTACCATACTTTGAGGAACTTACCCAAGGATATAGAGGGCTTACTGTATTTTATTACTCCTTTTCTTGTTGCCCGTTTTCTTATTTTATAGCATAATTAACCAAATTGATTATACTCATATAACACAGAAATAAACTTTCCTCTTACAGGTATCAGTATTTTAAGAACAAAGTGTAGTATGTAAGTAATGATCATATATTGTTATGATATGGTAGTAGATGATTCTGTTGTTTCAGTTGTTTTGTACCATGAAATTCTTGATTTAATGAAATTGGAAATTTTTAGAATATTTCAATTTCAACAACAGTATATTTTGTGAAATTAAAAAAAAATTTCTTCCTATAGAAATCTGGTTAAGAAGTACTGTCCCAAGCGTTCATCTAAAGATGAAGAGCCAAGGTAAATTATATACCTGTTTATATTGATATAAAAAAACCTAAAAAGTACTTATCCTTTTATTATTTAGTAAAATAAATATACTGCTAGCTTTTTTATAAATATTTTTAAAAATTTTTTAATAAAAAAATTACAGTGTTTTTGAAAGAGGAAACTTATTTATCTGTCATACAGATAAATACTTTGGTGGGCTTGATTGGCAGTTTTCTAGAGTAGTAGAAATGTGGATTTCCAAGTAAGATGTAGTAGAGAATTCTACTTGAGTAATTAAGCCTGCAGAAGAGGAAGGGTATTTTTCACACTCAATTTTGTAATTGTCAGTTTGTTGGATTCTTGCTTTACTTTTATAAGTAAGACAGTTTGACTGGTTGGTTAAAGGGATAATGAAATGGAATGAGATTTTCAGGATAGCTTTTGAATCCTGAATAAAAGATTAGGAATTGTCTGTGAGCTTTTTGGCAGTCTTAAACAGTAATATGTGGATGGCTTTATACAGTAGAAACAAGAGTCTAGACTTCAACCAACCAGCAACCAACTTTGTGTATAATTGTCAGTTGCTAGGATTCTGATTTAGTGTTAGTGGAGTTCTAACTGAGCTGTCAGTATTCCAGCTGTAAGAGAGTGTTCCTCAGTGTGTTCAAAGTAGATATATACGTTTTAATACAGTGATTCTCTTTGTTTCTCTCCTTCCCTCCACACACAACTTTACCCTTATTTTTGACCCCTCTACCCGCTTTGGTGCCAGCTATAATAGCAGGTCACTTCCATTCAGGATGTGGGCATGCATACAGGCAGCTGTGTCCAGAGCTGATAGCAAAGTTGTTCTATAGATCAGCCATCGAGATGCATTTGAGTGGTATGATTGGCAGGTTCTGTCCTCGAGAGCAAGCACATCATCTCTGCAACAGGTTCAGCTGCCAAGCCTAGGAATCCAACCAAGTTCATTCCCAAGCTCAGGCCAGTCAGTTGGCAACTTAAGAGATTCCAGTTTGCCAAAAGAGCCTGCAGGTAGTATTCTTATTCTTTTTTGACCTCAAATATCCTTTTGTTTATACATTAAAGACCACTCAAAGATAAACATGTACAACTTGAGCTTAATGCAGGATTCTTTCCATGCACAGTTCAAATTAGAATTAGTTGATGAGATTTAGGTTATGTTAACATTTGTTAAGTATTAATTAAGTTCAATCCATACCTCACCAAAAACATTTGAAGTTAAAATGAAAGTAAAAGTGTCATCATTTTAAAATATGTTTTTGCCAGGTTTACTTCATGTATAGCCTTCTTTAATATCCTCAATGAGTTAAATGACTATGCGGGACAGCGAGAAGTAGTAGCAGAAGAAATGGCGCACAGAGTATATGGTGAATTAATGAGATATGCTCATGATCTGAAAACTGAAAGAAAAATGGTAATTACAATTTTTATCTAGTCACAGTAGATTATGAAATATTTTCTTAGAAATAATTACATGGTTCTTTAAAAAAATCTGTTTAGCATAAAATGTTTTTCTAATTTCTCTATAAGATACTCTTGCTAATTTTGATCCTTTTGGATTTAAGACTGAGGTTTGGCAAACTACAACAACCCTTTGCAAAATTTAGCACCTCCCATTTTTGTTTCCTGGTTCTTATGACCTAATAATAGTATTTACATTTTTAGATGGTGGGGCAAAAATCAAAATAATACTTTGTGGCATGTGAAAATTATATGAAATTTAAATCTTAGTGTTCATAAATAAAGTTTTATTGGAATAGAGCCACACTCGCTGACTTATATATTGCTTTTGGCTGCTTTTGCATTTCATCAGCAGAGGTGAGCATTTGTGATAGAGTCTATGTGGCTTGCAGATCCTGAAATATTTATCAGCCTTTTATAGAAAATGTTTGTCCAAAGTGCCTATTCAGGAGAATTCGTATGTTTGTAGACACTGTATTTATTTTAAAGATTACATCTGAAGTATTAAAATAATATCCAGTAAATGTATTCTGGAGAGTTATACTTTTTCTATGTCTTAGTAAAGTTATATAATTAATACCTTGGGGAAAAAAAGGTAAAGAGCCTTTTTGGTACTTAAGAGTTTATTTAGTATTTAAATGTAATTACTTTTATTTGTTTTATCTTGTCTATTTTTCGGTGGTGGTTATTATCATTAGCATCTCCAGGAAGGACGGAAAGCTCAACAATACCTTGACATGTGCTGGAAACAGATGGATAATGTGAGTTGTAGTGTTTTCATGGTTAGTGTAACATTTTATAGAGTAGGTTAACCCTAAATTCTATTATACTTCACATTTATTTGGGTTTAAAGGTTTTCAGTTTATCGTTCATAATTTGATGTTGGTTTTATTGCATAGTAGCCAATAAAGTATAAATGGAGGAGGAGGATGCAAGATCATTTTTCTTTTCTTTTTTTTTTTGTCTTTATAACTTGATACTTATACAAACTGAAATCTTACCATTTCAGGAGATTCTTTTCAACTTTATAGTAGTTACTGTAAAATATTAATAAAGGATAGAAGTTAGAAAGAAATAAATACCTTGGAAAACCATTTGACTGAGAAAAACCAAGATTCTACTTCTAACTTTTTCTTAGCCCTTGATTTCTCTTGGCTTTATATTAAGCATATGAAAAATGAAGAGAGTGAGCTAGATTATATGAAATGTTTCTACTGATCAGTGATTCTATAATTCTTTAAATTCTCCTGATTTTAGACTGCTTAGTCAGAGACCATTTTGCTGTAGGAAAGAAAATACTTTTTAGAGCAAAATTGTAAAAGCATAATTATTTATTTTTCCCCCCAAGGAACTTGCTAATGTTGTTTTTAAAAAATGTTCTCGTATACAGTAATTTGAGAAACAAGGTGTCTACATGGAATACTGTAGGCTCCTCTACTTAAAACATTCTATTAAATGATATTCTGTAATATAAAATATTCCTTTTGAACCCCCAGGTTATCAAGTAATTTAATTTTTGCCACCATGTTTCTGTGATGGACACTGTATTACTTGAAAATTATGTTGAAGGGAGTTTTCATGTTAAGTTAATTAGTGTAGTTTGTGATTATTAGAAAAAGGGCTTTGAGATTAAGATTAAAAACATTCATGCCTAGGGACCAGCAGGTGGCATGGTGGTTAAGACGCTGGACACTCCCACATGGTCGACCACGGTTCAAGTCTGGACCTGGTGGCTTGCTTTCTCACTTTCTCTTTCTCTCTCTGTCTCTCTCTCTCTTTCTTTGTCTGTGTGTGTGTGTGTGTGTGTGTCTCTGGTCAAATTAAAATAAATGAATGTATAAATAAAATTAATTATTAAAAAAATTCATGCCTATATTTACAGCTTTCAACCTGTTTTTTTTTTTTCCTTTTATAAACAAATTCAAAGGTTAGATTAAATTTCTACTGTGTAACTCAGGATGTAAGATTCTAATCACCAGTGCTAACTGAGAATTCTAAAGTATATTAATAGTGTGCTTGCATTTTTGTTTTGATTTTATAATTGGTTTCAGCAATTTTAGGGAGTGTTTACGTTGATTAAATTTTAAATTGCCTTAAATAGCATCCTTAGTATCTTCCACCTAATGGGTGTTTATGCATGTATGTGTGCGTGTTTTCATTTGCACAAATAATAGACTCCTACACTCATGAGTCATTCATTCCTCTAAAAATTGTTGGCACAAAACATTCTTGTTATTATGTGCTGACGTTTTTGAACAATTATTATTAAGCAAAAGTTATTGAGGTAATGAGTGAAAGAAGTATCAAAAATGTGGCAAGATCTCTTTGAAGCATTAACAATACCATGAAAATTAGATGAGTTCAACTCTAGTTTATTGAAATTATCCTTGATGTGTTCAGGGTCCTGAAGGTATAGAAGTGAATATGAAGTGATTCTTGTTTCTGTGGAGCCTACAATCTTGTGAAGGAGACAAATACTATTTTTGTTTAATATGTAAAAACAAGGTTAAGATTCTATTTTCTATTCTATTTTCTAGTTCCATGTCTTCCTGTTCAGTGAAGAAATGTGTTTGAAATAATTGACAGAAGATATAAAGAACTGGGGGAAACAGGTGGTAGAAGTAGTGACAAGGGTATTGAAAATAGAGAAAAAAAATTAAAAGTTATTAACCCTAGGATAAATAAAATAGGCAGCACTGACATTTAAATAAGAAGTGAAGAGAATAGACTGGAAAGAATAGTCAAGATGCCTCATTCATTGTTAGGAGGTTCCAAGTAACAGAGCATATACATTTGTAAAAGCAGAGCTCAGAAATAGAAATAGTTCCTAGGTTGGTCAATAGGCCAGTGATTTCACCAAGACTGTATCTCCTGTCTGTCCACTTTGCAATCTTAACCATCTTAGCTCTTTTTCTTAGCCTTAGCCCCCATGGTCACCTGTCGGCTTAAGCAACCAAGCACAATTGCATCTAGAGGCAAAGAAAAGGGAGTACTTCTCTTTCAACTGTACTTTTTTATCCAGGAAGGGAAACTTACTCAGAAAACCCTCTGCAGAGTTCCTCCTGAGTGCTTTTGACAGGATTAGATTACTTGCCCATGCCCCAGCTGTGGAAAAACTAAGAAAACAAATATTAGCTATTTTTAACCTCTATACTGGGAGCAGGCTCTGCTGAGCAATAGTAGCGGAGTAGAGGTGACTGTTAATAGTTTGCCACATAAAAGATGAAGAGAACAAGAATCTTTTCTTGGAATATATTCCTATAAGGTATAATTAATTACTATCATTCAGTGAAAGAGTTGGTTTTGTTTTTGTTTTTTTTTTTTTTTAGAGGTTTTCGCTATAGGGTGCATGCGCTCGCCAGACAGACAGAGACAGACAGAGAGACAGAAAGCGAGAAATCACCTCCAGGGGTGATGGCCATGCCGCAATCCCTTCTCCTCCGTTCTCCTCTCGGGATCTTGGGCATGCATGCACAGCCGTGAGTGTTAAGCCCCCGGGCCCGGGACGCAAACCGTGGTCGACTACGCGGGAGTCCAGCCACATAGCCATTACGCTAACTGCTGGTCCTGAAAGAGTATTTTTAATATCATTGTACTAGTTAGTGATTCTTTACTGTTGCAAGGAAATTATTAGGTAGTTTTTTTCCCTA